TGCTGGTCTCTAGGAGGTGGCTTTACTTGTAGTCACAAAGTTAATACTTAACAGGGAATGAGCGGGATTGTGTTGGTGTACTCTGAAGTGTAATCTAAACTGGATTTCCTGGGTTTGTAATGCTTTGTTCTGGATTAACAATTGCCTGGCAGTGTTTATAACGCTAAACTGCTGATACTTGCTCTCAAATATAATCCCAGTTTAATGCCTTTTTTGTCTTGGAATAGGGAGAAGGATTAATAGGAATCTAGCATACAGCAGACATGAGGTTTTACATCCTTTGATGTCTGCAAATGGCACTGATTCAGCTTTTCTTCCTGGGAAACATTTCTGATTCTTCACAGATTTTTGGTTGTATCAGTATCCTGCAGCAACTTTTTTTATCACATTAAACAATGTGGTAAATGTCATTCTTATAGAGTGACAGTGTATAAAAATCAGAGTAAGAAGAATAAATGAGATAAAATGAAGGAGGTTGTAGGTGTCCTTTACCTTTCACAGTAGCTAAAGACACCGATTCACTAGAGTTTGTTGCTATGGTAAAAGTTTCTCAGTGAGAAAACCTGATAGAGGGGAAAGTCTCAGCTTTTCTAGAGAATTCAGTGCCTCCAAAAAGCTGAAGACAGAGACATGGAAAAGGGAAGGAAGGATGAAGACAGGGCTGAGTAAGGCAGGCTGCAGCACTTGATTGAACTGTAGCTTTGCACTGGCCAGTTGCAAATCTAGGAGCAAACTGCACAGGTCGAGTTCGAGACTCAGAGTATCCTCCCACCGAAACTGGACACGTCCGGGACTCCGCTTCTCTGTCACACCAAGGTCAACAATGGGAATACTCCGTCACTTGATTGTGTCACAGGACATTTTTACTTCTTTATGAGACTTCTGTCTCATACTACCAGTAAATGCAGAAGATGAAAAGAGCACACAAACAGGTTTGCTGTGTGGAGAAATAACTGAAGTGAGCTGGGGTGCTATTTCTGCATGTGCCTATTTGTAGTACTCCATTTTACAGCAAAATTAACTATTTCACACTTCTTGCCTGTGTGAGTTTTCTCAGAGGGCTTCTCTCTAGCATTGAGAGTGCTACAAATTCTTTAGCTCATGATGCCGTCTTTCAGCAGAGAAAACAAAGGACAATTTTAGCCCTCTCTAGTGCCACTAGAAATGCTAAAAACACTTTGAGAGGAGCGTATGCATATGAAAGTGTCTATAAAATCCTACACATTTCTCTCAAGACTTACTTTTCTGAGGTTTGTCTCATTATCACTGACCACAGATGTGGTCTTGCTCATAGTAAATATTTTGTTGCATTCATTGTATCTGGACATCTTTCATAAAACATAAGACAGTAGTGAAATCTGTAGGAGATACTGCATGCCTGGTACCTGCACTGTTTCCTTCTTTTTGGGTAATGAATGCTTTGTTGGGATTTCCGTGGTTGTATGCAAATATCATCAGTGATGTTTTCTTACAAGCCTTTTTCCTTCCCTATCCAAACAGATGCTTCCCGAGTCTGAAACACAAGATAATAGCTGTAGTAGAAGAGAAGAAATTTGGAAAGCCAAGGACAGATGTGCAGTTTAGTGGATACGGAAGCCTGAGCTTCACTGCCTTCCCAGGTGAGTGAGTCTGCAGGAAATAGGACATTTGGCTTGTTTAAGTGTGAAATAACAAAGCTGCTGAAACACATGCCCAGTCTTTTAGTGAAATCTCCAAATAAGTGAGTAGGAATAGGGAGGTTACTTATGTGAATACAATACATGCATGAATGTCTGCAAGACAGGTCTCTTGGCAACAAATCTGGCAGCGTCAGGGTGCCTTTTGTGAAACACCTCTCAGATGAAATGGGCTGGTTGGCCCAAAGGGTGAAATTACCTGGCAGAGCTGCTTCACCACCTCCCATGACCCACTATGCTTTCAGTGCTGGTTTAAACACTTTCCCTTTCACTATCCAAATGCAAAAACAAGTGCAAGTGGGAAAAGTGCTCCATAACAGCTCTCTAGCCCCCATTCTCATTCTTTTAGAATAAACTGATGATTTTTCGCTAAGAACTGTATGTGTTAGGAATGAGTCTTCTGTTCTTAGGGGTGAATAATTTAAAAAAAAATCCTGGGTTTTGCTTTCTTTTCTTCATGAGATGAATCATTGCCTGTATTCTGGAAAACCTGTGATGGCTTTAGATTGCATATTTTCAGATATTTTTTTTTTCCTTTTAATTCTTAGTACACTATGTCTTTAATATTCTCTTGGTGCAAACAGAAATCTCTCTACTCTCACTAGATACCCAGTGTCATGATTTGGATATAAATGGAAAAGCTTGTTACAGCTACCCACCTGAGCAAAGACAATGGATCAGACCACACTGATTTGACCTGCAAAGTGAATGTTCAGAAATCTAGAATGAAAGTTGTTACTCTGCCCTGATAATCAGTGTTCTCTTAGAGCTGGCAGAAACAAGGAACCATATGTAGAGGCAGGGAGCTCAGATGGTGGTTGGCTGCACCCTGTCCTTGGGGAGATAGTAGCTTTTCCACACCTTAGCCTGCCTGTTTCTAGGAAAAAAATCAATGGCCAGAAATGATGGAGTAACCTTGGGGAGAGGCTTGGGAGAAGAAGAAATGCCTCAAGTGCTTTTAACTCATCCTTCATGGAGTTTTAACTATGCTTAATTTGGTCAACTTCCCTGCCTCTTCTAAGCAGTGTGTTATTGCTGAGGGAGGTAGCCAAGCCAAAAATTCCTAGATTTTCTGTCAACCAGTACTCAAAATGAAATTACAGTGCAAGTTACTTTATGATCTGTGGGATCAAGGACAGCACGATAACAAACAAATAAGAACAGGCATACTTAAAAATGGGAAAAAAAAAGCTGAGCAACAGGAAGCATAAAAGTACAGTTGAGCTTGTAGACTCAAATGTAGCAGTGTAAGCCCAAAGTCATGTCAGTAAAACTAATAGAGCTGCCTTGGCCTATAGAAATGCAACCGAGATCAGTTTCCTCATATACTTTGGCATTTTCTGCCCCTGATGTACTGACAAAATCCCAGTTCCCTTTGTTCAGGCATTATCAGTTAGAGTGGAGGCCCTCTCAGCATGGTCCATTGCTTTAAAAATAAATCTTCCACATCATCACTATTTTCTTCTATTATTTGTTAACTCTACTTCCAAAAGGAGTCGGAAATCTCGGTGGTAAAGTCTGTTGAAGTGCAGTTAGTTAAGGGATGTTATTAATAAGGAGATGATGGGAATTCAGTGTCTACTGCCAGGGAAGCTAGTCAGATATTCTGAATTTACTGAGGAAGTCAACAGAAATGGCAACTGATATGGGAGGGAATTCTTGCTGGATTATCCTGGGGGGGGGTTGTTATTTTCATGCGCTTGGATATAACCAGGACATGACTGGTGTAAATGCACAGCCCTTGTATCCTCAGAAGCATGGTTCATCACCTGAACACCAAAAGGACTCTGTAAACATCAGCACACACTTATAACTGTGTTGGGTCAGTGTTTCCCTCCTCAGCAACTGGACTTGTGTGGTACAATCTTCTACATAGATATAGCAGCTTCAGAAAAATTCACTTTTACGTACTAGAGTCTCCACATGCAAGTCACTAGCTCAGGGAAGAAATCAATACAGATTTCTTGCATTTTCCTTCTCAAAAGTGAACAAAGAAAAGACAGTTCAAAGTCTGGGATTAGCACCTCTGCCTAGAAGCTATACTGCAAGGATCTAGCTCAACATGAATATGAAAACCAATTGCTTGATTGTCATCCTCATCGCTCAGGAAAGCAGCAGCTGGCTGCCAGGGTAGCGGCAGGGGCAGCGGTGGGGGTCCCCTGGAGCAGTGAGCCGCCTCTCTCCAGGCTGGGAGCATGTTGCCATTCAGTTTATCCAGGTGCCTGTGAGCACTGATAGGAAGTAACTGACTGGCATGTTAGGCTCCTGCTGGTGGATTATTTTTTATTGCCTTGTTTGTTTGGGAAGTGGTAGTGCTCAGATTGCTCCAAGGTCTGAAAGGTTGCTTTTCCCCTGGGTTCTTATGTTGCTGGCTGATGCTTTAGGGATCAGAGCTGTTCTTATCTTATCCCCCAGTAAGGTGGGGGTTGCTTCTTCAGATTCTTGTGTTAGTCACTATGTTGGACTCAGGTTTTTTATTTCATGCTCTTGTTTGGTTTGGCTCTGTTCATGAAACTAGATTTGTAACCAAGAAGGAAGTAACAGATACATGAAAAGCCTGTGAGCAGGAGAGGACCTGGTGAGGAAGCCTGGAACTGGAATAGTCAATTCATCGAAGCTAGCCAGGGACTTGAGCTAGTGGAAATACTAGTTAAAGGGGGATGTGGTAGGCACAGGACCTGTCGCTACAACAAGCATCATACTTTGCAGTGCAAGTCAGACAGTGGAGGAATGGCATGGAGATCTTGCTAAAACCATGTTAACTTAAACCTGCTTTTGGACTTAGAGTTACAATAATTTTATTTTTTTAACTAGCATGTACAAATCTAAACCTGACAGGTGTGCATGCATATGAGCATGACCATACATAATCAGGGCAGGGGAGGCAACAGAATTTAGCCTGAAGTTTTTCACCATAAACTCTAAGTCTGTGTTTCACAGCAGCCCAAGCCTGTAGTGACTGAAGGCCTGGGGAGGTTTGCAGGTGCCATATATATGAGGATGCTGAAAGATGCTATCACATGTAAGCAAACAAATTTTTTTTCAAAGCAATGAAGAATCACATCCAAAGAGATACGCATTGCCATTTATAGGAAATAACTCAATTTAATTTTACCCATAAATGCTAACACAAAACATTATGGAAGGAAATAAAAAAAAGTTAGAAGCAATCTCCTGGGAGTGGACTTAGTTTTGGTTTTTGATTAAATATTTTCAGATCTGAATATTTAAAGTAAATTGCTTAGATAAGTAGTTCAGGATACTGCACTTTCCATGAAAGCATCTCCACACACCATCCCACGTAACTGACACACAGCTCATGAATCAAGGATTTCTTGTGGCTGTTTTTTTACTGTTTTCTAATGGGTCTTCCAAAGACTCCTTTAAAACAAAATAATAACACACTCCATCAAGACAGCAGTTCAGGTTTGCCCAGCAAAGGGTAACCTGAATGATGTCTCGTAGCACTTGCTGAAAACTGGTGTGAATTATGTTGTTCTTCACCAAAAAGTACATGAAGTATGCCACGTGGTAAGGCGTGAAACAGACCAAAAATGCCACAAGATTTGTCACCACTATCTTCTCTGCTCTGGTGGTGTGTGTTTGGGGGTTGTCTGGTTTTCTGTGCTTTCTCAAACACCTGATGGTCTGAACAGTGCAGAAGGCCATGGCTGCCATGCCGCCAAAGAAAATAATCTCCAAGGCACTGAACAGGCCTGTGTTTTCCCATGTGCTCTTGGAGAAGTTATGGAAGCAGGATGAGATGTTGTGGCCCTCTCCATGCAGTTGGAAAGTAGAGACTGTCCCGGCTGAGGTGCCCAGGCAGATGATAGCACAAACCATAGCAGCTTTCTTGGTGGATCGCAGGGTGGGAGCTGTGAAAGGGTGCTGGATAGCAATGTACCGGTCTACACAGATGCAGAGGGAGATGAGAATGCTGCCATACATGTTTACAAAGTAAAGACTCTCCAAGGTGGAACAAAACACAGACCCCAAGTTCCAGTTGTTCTGAAGGTGGTAGGAAATTATTTTAAAAGGAAGAGTAAACAGCAGCAAAGTATCCAGGAAAATAAGGGCTATCATGTAGACTGTAGATTCTGACATCTTTTTAACCTTAAAAAACAGGAACGACAGGGCCATCATATTGAACAGCAATCCGAGGGTAAACGTGGGGGTGTACATGATGAGCTGGAACAGTTCCACGCTAGCACTGATATTGCTCGTGGCATGGGTGTCATTCATATCGTCAGGTATGCTGGAAGAGAAGAAAATCACCTTTACCACAAGGAAGGATGAAGATCACATTTAAGACACGGTACAAAGACCAGTGAAGTTTCTATGTGTCCGCAGACCTGGAGATGCTTTATTGTCTCGGGCTGCTGTGTGCTGAATTGCAGCTCCCAGTAACATGGAACAGCTCAGTGCCAAGGGCTCTTGGGGCAAGGTTGTGTCTCAAGATAGAGCGAGGCTTTCTGGGGTCCAAGTGCTGTCCCATAATTTAGGCTAGGCAGAGTATAGATGTGACTGCTCCATCCCTTTGGAGTGATGCGATCTCTTTGCAGAGCCAGGGTAGCAGCCCCTGATTTTAGGATTATTTGGATTGTGGGTATGGAGACAATTAGTTGGATCAGGTTTCTTGAATCAAGCTATCATAAGAAACTTTGGGGACCCAAGAGCACAAGGGTCCCCCATGTTTATTAATGTGAAAAATCCCAAACAGTTATTGCCATCCTGCACCCTCTCCCACCACCACCAGGCAAAGAGGGGCTGTGGTTACCTCTGGCCCTTCTGACAAGCTTGCTAAAAGCAGCAGGCAGGAATTTTCAAACAGTCTATTTCTCTCAGAGTTTAAGTCTTCAGAAGAAAAATGAGATTTAAGAACCCAAGCTTTTGTCTAAATCAGCCAGACTTACCACAGCGGATAAATTTGTATCTGCAGAGACAGGGGTTGCAGAAAACATGCAGCTGGTTTCCTCTTCACAAAGAGGGGACTAAAAATGTCAAGTAGTCACCCTCTGAGCAGGGGTCATGAAGTAATTCTCTTCTTTAGAGGAAGAGTGCTGGTTTGATCCTGCCCTCAAACTCTCCTGATAAGGACCGGGGAGGCTTTCATTGGTTTCTGCAATGCTGGCCTCAGCTGGAACCACAAATGCAAATGCACAGGAATACCTGGTCCTTTCTTCCAGCCAGTTCTGTCACAGAAGATGTAACCTGTAAATAAAGCCTTTCAGAGACCTATCAGCACCCAGAAATTACTTTTGTCTGCTGTTCTCTAATTGTTATTACTTCGACCGAGTGCCTTTCCTACGCTAGTTACTGATCTTGCTGCTGTTTCATTTCACATTTGTCAACCAGCTGTCAACTGTGCAGTAAAAGTTCCTATTCTGCAGATCAAGTCATTCCCCTAGTGTTTCAGAGGTAAGCTCTCCCACACTGTGGTTTGAGAGAGACTAGAATCTCTTTGAGAGAGATTAGAATCATCAAAGAGGAAATTTATTTTTTACTTAAAAACTAGCAATTATTTTTAGGAAGGCAGAGCAGGTTGGCTGTTTGCTCCTTATGGACACACTGCTGCCAAATAAATGATTCAGTAAGTTACTGGTTCACATTACAGAAGCGAGAAAACCCACTCCAGAAACCCAGCCTGATGAGAGTGGGATGATGGCAGGGCTAGGGTGCAGGAGAGCAAACCTCTGGTGGGGTCAGGTGCAGGCATCCATCCACACCTTCTGTCCTGCTGTAGAAGGTACAGGTTTTATTGGGTTACCTGCAGCAGGCAGTGCTGCTGGCTGTGCACAGCATGTAACTGCCTCCTTCCTTGCAGATCACTGCTGCCTCTAAGGCATGGGGGGACATGGCTCTGTGGGGCAGCAACCCTGTCAGCAGCGCCTGCTCTGCTGGCACCTGCGAGGGACTGAAGGAAGTTTGAGGGGAAATAATAAAATTCCCTTGTCCAAATAAAAAAGGACAGGAAAGCCTGCACTTGTGAGCGCTTGGGGATCTGAGTGGCTGGAGGGCAGAAGCACTCCTTGTTATGCTGCAGATTGTTCACTGCCTGGGAGTTAAACCCTCCCGCAGCCACAGGGCTGGGGAGTTTGTTGAGAGCTGGGTTGGGTCCCTGAACCTCTGAATTCAGGTGGCCCACGGCAGATGGGGGTTACACTGATGGCCTGGGTGGAGATGCCACCCGGTACAAGAGAGTGGCCTGGGCTCAACCCGATATGCTGCTCTTCTGCTGTGTCCCCTTCACTGAGTGAAGCACTGTGAATCTAACACAAGCAGGGAAACCATTACTGAAAGCCAAAATGATGAAAAATTAATTAAGGAATTACTGAAAAGTAATAAATATTGGCAAAGTTCTTTACCTCATTGCCTCTCTAAGAGATTTAATTAGTCATTTGTTTGTTTGTTTGATGATGTGTCTAGGAAATTCTGGGTTTAGAGAAATAGAATTTCAACTTCTTACCAAGATTTTAACCTGAGAAAAATCTAGTTATGATAAAAGGGCATTTTAGACTAGAGTCTGTTGTGTATATTTATAAATAAAATAGAAAAATATTCAAAGCATAAATGTAAAGGGTAGCCCTGTTCATTCTTAATAAAAAAACAAACCAGATATGCTATAAGCAAAACAAGTTATGTAAAATCTAATTAGTTTTCAGATCTTGTAGCAAGAAGAAAGCTTTTAAGGCAAGGTTTTACTGCAGTGAAATATTCTCTCTTTCATCTTACCTTTGGACTGTCTCTAGCTCTGGTTGTTGACTTTTTCTCCTTCTCAGCTCATAGAATTCTTGAGTCTTATGTTTTCTCTTAAGGCAGTCGAGAGAGCTGCATGCAGAGTAACTGCTGGTAAGGATGTCAGAAAGCCTGAAGTGCTGCTGCTTTTTGTTTCATCATGTATTTCCATTACAACATTGGTCTCCCCACGCTGTGTCTGCATACACACACTATGTACGTAGTATGTCACATAGAGCTCACGTAAGGATGTAAATACATGGCTTTGTGGGGCTAGCGCCTCTGTGAGTCACCCATTCAAAACAGTCTCCAGTAACAGAGAAGGCCCTACAGACCTTTCTCTGATTTTTTTTTTTTTCCTACAAGACATGATTTCATTGATTGTATGTAACATCCAAGTGTAGAGTGTTACCTGTCAAAATTTACTTTAAGCTGAATCCTGAGCTATCGCTGTCATTGTTTCCCTTACTTTTCACAATACCAAAAAGGAAAAAGAGATCATTGATTTTCAGTGGTGATCTGATATGTCCACTTCAAGTTGGTATTTTTAAAAAAGACAAGAGTTACTCTTAAATCTGTTTTTATTCCTAGAAAGTAGGGAATGTACCCATGGAGAATATCAGGTGCTGATTTTGTTCAGGGGTGAAGAGGAAAAAAAGATTTTTTTTTTGCCTGCTGTATGCATGTTTGCAAACTTCTTATCAAAGGGGGAAAGAAAGGCCAGAGGGGTAGTTTTGCTTGGTCCTCTGCATAACCCTTAAATATCAAAACGGAGGATTACGTTGGCTGAATTCAAACTGTACATCTGTGAAAGAGATGGGGGGGTAGCAGACGAGAAGAAATAGTACTTGGGGTTTCCCGGTTTCCCCATAGTATTTCAGTTGAAATGACTCTCCTTAAGGAAAAAAAAAAAAAAAAAAAGAAGTGCCACTAAGGGGAAAAATGTGATAGAAGGTCTGAGTGAACAATACCTCATTGCATCCCTCAGCTAGGTTTCACTTCTGTGTATCTGGTGGTGGCCTTGTGACCATGACTGCATTTTGGATATTAACAAAAAAGCCCACACAATGCAGGAAGGCACCACTACCCTGAAGAGGCATTTGGGGCCTGAGCCAGCCTGAGTGGTGGGAACGGAGGTTGCTGTGAGCATGGGATGTAAGCCCAGATGCCAGAGTGCTCTCTGTGCTCCTGCTCTGGTCTGGGCTTTGCATATCCAGTTCTGATACTGCCACCAATGCTCAGAGCAGATGCTCTCACTTCCCAATTCAAGGTTTACCCCTCAGACACTTGGAGCTTTCTCTTCTCTCTCATTTTCTCTTTGATACTCATGTTTGCATGACACCTAAGCACTGCCTACCTCACCAGAGGCTGCCCAGAAGTGTGCTTGCTGCACAAAGTCCTATGTGGCTACACATCTGGAGAAAGATGTTTTGGAAAGGGGAGGATGAGGAAGCAGCAATGCTGGGGTTTGCACATCAGAGTCTAGCCACCATCAGTGGTAGATCTGCTTTTTTTTCCAGCAAATGTACTCATGAGTTTTTTAGAGAGGGACCTGAGGAGAAATGGCCAGGAAGGCATGCAGGGAGTGCAATTGTACTTGGGACAAGGTGTGAAGCCTCCTCTCCCTTCAAAATTGAAGGGTGAAATGCAATTATGATGAGGGCTGATGGAGAAGGGAAAAGGAAAGTGAGTGAGCAGTGTAGTAGAAAGGCTGGGATAGTCCATGGAGGACTTTGAACTGTTGATTTATAGCTTAACTTGTGATGCAGGGATGAAAGCGCTGTAGGCAGTCAAGGTAGCTTTTCTCATCACAGACCCTACTCTGTGCTGATGGGACATGACTCTTCATGAAGTCCCCAAGAACAAGAGTGCTGTCCCTTTTCTTGCACACCAGGGAGAAGAGGGTCACACCCTGCAAACCCTGCTCTGTCCTTGGCACCTCCGTGCATGTCACCAGTGCTACCAGCATGTGAAGCACCTGCTGCTTTGTGCTATTTCGGATGCTGAATGCATCATCTTGTTCCTTTTTCTTGACAAAGGAGAAGTTTCAGCTGCATTTTTTTGTTAGTATTTATAGACCTTGCCATGTCGCCGCTGCCATACAGACCTCCTCTTCAGGCCACGCATGCATCCCTGGGTGGCAACCACTGAAGCTCTGCTGATTCCTTATGCATGCCCTTGGGGCTGAACTTCTCCTGGCAGTGCCAGGCTGTGCCAGCCATCCCCAGGCACTGCGGGTCCATTGCTGTGCCCTGACACCCAGCCACACCACAGGCTGCAGTGCTGTGGTCCTGGCTCTCAGGAAAAGTGTGAGTATGGGGCTGGTGCTGCTGACATCCTTCTAGTTTAGCAGCTAAATCAGTAACCATTGCACCACATAGGGTTGTGCAGTGGAGACATAGTGATTTTGTTCTTGATATAAATCAGTCTAACCAGTGAGAAAAATATTGGCTTTGCTTGAGAGAGCATCCACTGCTGTGAGCCCTTTGCTTTCTTCCTTGATTTCCCTCAGATGCCCTTCAAGTCTTCACTTTTCAGTTTCATTCACCTCCCCTCTGTCCTCCCATGTCCCCAGGCCCCTGGGTTTTCTTTTTTTCAAAGCTCTAGCTCTGTGCTAGGGAGGAGGCTTCAGAAGCCATTCAGAGGAAACAGGAGGTTGGGCAAGAGAGGCCCCGACAGAGAAACACGTGAAGCCTTGGGATGGCTCCAGAGAAGCTTTTACTGCTAGAGTGTGCTTGGTTGGGGTTGCTGTTGGGGGGCTGAGAGCATGTCTGAGCTCCTTGGTCCTGCTATGAGGCCTTGATGCGTGGCACCCAGGAACACCAACCTCTCCCTGTGTCTCACCTGGGACAGGGGCCAGGAGGCTATTGGAGCTTGCTCCTGCCCACCATGGGCTATGTACTTGCCTTGGGCCATTGCAGCATCCCACCGGAGCTGCCTGCAGCCCCTGGGTGAGCCAGAACTGGGATGAAATGTCCTATAACCTAAATCTGGTGGATCTGCAGAGCTGTTTGTTATTGAGTTGCTCCATCTCGTGGCTACAGGGGAAACAAGAAACCCGGCTTCAGCCCTGTGATGTCCCTGTCTTTATCTGGGGTTGATCACCAGGAGGAACGGTTTATCCTATACCTCAGACAGCTTATCCCACAACCTGCCTTCACCAGCTTGAGCACTAGACTCCATGTCTTCACTGGCCTCTGTGTCTGCTGCAGCATCCACACCATGGACAGGCCAGGGTGATGAGAAAAGGGAGAGCGAAAAGCTGTGATGGCGACGGGCGGAGAGGAACAGCTGAAATGGAGCTTTTCTGCAGAGGAATCGACCAAAAGCACTGCTTGTGGGTTGCTGGTAAGGCTGAGAGGCCAGGGCCAGGAAGCTGCTGCCCCAGTACAGAGGTCTGATCCCAGGCGATGGCCTTCTCACTGGTGTTTAGAGTCCTCTGGAAGGACCCTGCAGCTTGCGGGAGGCACCAGCAAACCTTGGCTGTGCACCAGGGCTGAGTGTCCCAGCGGAGAAGGGTCCTTTCAATGCTGGAGGAGCTAACTCTGCTGTATGGGAAAGCAGGTGAACTGATTTCTCTCTTTGAGGCTTGACATGTTTAGTTTTGAAGTGATCTAACATTTGTGGAGAGACATGTCTCAGTTTCCACAGAGAACTCAGCTAGGGATCCTCTTGTGGGACTCCTCGGGCCAGGTCAGCAGGGTGGGTATTTTCTGTCAGTGCTCCTGAGACCGGTGAAATTTGAAACTGGTGAAATGTGAAAAACCAACAGGAAAATAAACTCTTTTTCCCAAATCTTCTATGTTCTGATCTAAGGCCCAGGCAAATCAGGTATTCATTCCCCTATGTCTTTATTCTGCTATCTTCCAAGCTGCAGCACCAACGGCAACAACTTGGTGGAGATCTGTCTCTTGTGTTGCAGCTCTTTCACTTTTAGTTATTCTCTAACTCCACAGAGCAGGCGTTCAAACAGGGCTCACACGCACTGGCTGAGGGCCCTACATACCACATCACAGCGTATGCCTCTTTCCAGCCTAATGACTGAGTCATTTTGACACTTCTAAGGTATTTTTATATTTTTTTTTTCCTACTCAAATCATTAGCAATGCTGTTCTTCAACTCATAATTACCTTTGAAAGACTTGAAACAGCATTTTCATAAATTAACTTTTTCGCAACAGGTCATACAAACCTCCAAACCATAAGACACCCTCCCTCCCCTGACATGATGAGACAGGCACTTCAGCTTAATTTTGCAAGGTGGGAAAAAAATCAGTTAGTGAAGATGATCAATGAGATCTCATTTTATTTTTCACAGTGCTGAAGTGCATGTACAACTCGAGGAAAATGACTGCATAACTAGACCTCCTTTCCAAAAGGCACTGGTACACGTTTTGAGCCAGCTGGGCTGCTTGTACGGCCAAGGAACTGTGTCCTTCAGGGGTGCATCCAGTGGTGACTGGGAGAGCCTTGATCAGACCCTGCATGGCTCACTGCTCCATTTCTTCTTAGCGGGAAAGGTCAGTTTTCCTCGACTCATTTCTGGGGCCTGTGTGATGGCACAGTGTGTTTCTGTGGGAAATTGTTAGGCATATTTACAGCAGCCCTCATGGCAGGGAGGGAAGTTTGTTGAATGTCATTATGAGAAAAAAATTAGCTGAAGAAGAACACAAGAGTAATTTTAGGCAAGAGAAAAAATTACATCTAATATGGCATCCTGTCTTTGACTGATGCCAGCAGTGGATGTTCAGAGGAAGAGCATAAGAAACCGCATTCCCATTGCTGATAGCACTTCCAGTAATAAGCAGTTTAGAAAATAAGGAAAGCTTAATCATAAAGCCTCTATTAGTAAGGTTCCAGACTTTCCTCTTCCAATATCCCACAGTGCTTTTCTACTGAGCCCTTACAGGTATATGCCATACATTGAACATGACGTGTACATGTCTATTTAGCAGACAATTCTAACATCTTTATGCTGAAAATACCAAGATGTTTTATCCATGTATCTTTAGAATTTTAGAGAACCAGCTGGATATCAGTGAACTGTATTACCTAACAACTGCTGCTTCGAGAACATTTCTTAAAAAGAAAATCCAAACAAATTGTATGATACTACAACTTAAATTTTCCAGTGTTCAGTAGAGGTAGTTTGTTTTTTGGAGTTGCTTAACAGAAAAAGCAGGTAGGTTGACAACTGAATTGTGGTTTGTGGTCTTCCTAAGGCAGCAGAAATTGAAAGACATCAGATCTCCAAGTTTAGATAATTAGCATGAGAAGATGAATTAGTTATAAATGCAGTGACATCAGTCAGAATTTGACAACACTACTTTTCCCTGAATTTATATTGATAACATGGTCCTCAAAGGAAATATTTTTACAAAATTATACATTTCTAAAAGATTTTTTGGGGGAAAAAACAAAAACTTTTTAAAAACTATTTTTTCTTAGAATTCATTTTACTTTATCTGTGTTCTGCTCTATTACTTCATTATGTAAACTGTGTGTACTTTTACTGTGCCAAACATCAACTCATGGTCTACTATAATGTTAACAGGCCAGCAGCAATGCATATGTTTATTATATCATGACGTACTAGTAAGATTTAACTTTGCTGCCATCAGAGGTAGAGTGCACAGGGGATTTGGCTGTTAATGAAAATCTCTCTCATGCTATATGCATAGTTGGTCAGTCCTATCAGTTTGGTGCATCACTAACCTTACAACCTTTTTATCAAATATTAGCTCTGCAGAGCAGCATGCTGATGAGCTGTGGCGTTTGCTGTGCTAACCACACTGCATTTAGGGTGGTCTGTGTGTTTAAACAGTACACTGCAATGCATCATGGCAAGCTTGCCTGCTTGACACTGTCAAGTTTGGGTTTTTCCATCCTTTCTGAAATGTAGCTGTTCTGGTGTCATCTTGGTGGCATAGGTAGGGTCTGTTCTCTTTTCCATTCTACATGTGGGGAATTGAAGCAGAGATAAGCAAAAGGACTTTCCAAAGGTGATACGAGACACCTGCAGTGGAGTGTGGTTTCCTAAATCCAGATACCTTCCTCCCATTGCCAACACACTATTTTTAGCCAGTTCCTTCCTGGGGCCCAGCTCCCTGTCTGCAGCCCAGGACAGACAGCATTGCATCAATCATGTCTGCATGTCCACACTGCTTCTATAAGTCTTACATTGTTCAGAAATAATTTGTATGTCTGCCCTTTCATATTCAGAATTAACTGTTCTCAGTTGCTAAGTGTTGAAACTATATAGTAACATGCAAAAGAAGTAATCAAGAATGTGACAACATGTATTTCATGTCATTTTCCACATATATGTGATCAATCTTTCAGTCTTTCTATTTAATTTCAATAATATTTTAGTTAGGGTGAGGCTGTGTATATGTGATAAAAGGATAGTGTCTCTGCCATTATGTTCTGTGCAGATTTCAGCAAGGATTAAGAGAATAATATCTTTCTATCTCTCCTTTTTTCTGTAGCTGAACTCATGGTGGCCTTCAAGCAGATCTTGCACTGTTATAAAGGTGTTGATGGTATGGTATTTGTGTAGAAGCACTTCTCATTCAGTCACCTAAATTATGAAAACATGCTGAGCACTCCTAATTCATAATTTCTTTTTCCATTATTATTCCTTTTAAGATGATGCAGTTTAGAGAAAAAATTTGTACTTCTAATTATTTGGTTTCTTTGGCCAACTGTCTCTTGTGCATTTAGCAGAAGCCTTTCTTTTTCCTTTCACGCCTTGCCTTGCCAGTAAAATTTTTCTCACAATAGTTACAGATGCTGAAACACCGCTTTGGTTATGCTAAAGCTGGTGAAGTGCTGCTGATGGTTTTTAGACTACTGTTAAGCAGTGGTGTTGAGCATTTGCTTTCTCCTGTGTGAAACATGAGTGCAGCATCCCACGTCTCCCAATCGTAGAAAATACTCTGCACATTTTTGTTTCCTTTTCACACATTTGTAATTTGCCTACTTTTGATACAATATTTTTTTTACGCGTTTGTTGGTTGTTTCTTTTTTTTTTCTTTTCTGAGGCACTGATTTTTATAGCTTTAGTTGCTAACAACAAGAAGTTTATGCAGAAGGAAGTCCATTCCCTCATTCCTTTCACATTCAGATGAAAGGCAGCGGAAGAGGAAGACTTCTGATTGCTTTTGTGTCTCTTGTCATTGTTACCATTTGGCATTAGGTACCTTTGCAAGTCCTAGCTTCTGAGCTGCTCTCTCTTCTCAGAAGAGCTACTGAGCAATAACTACATTTGGGTGTGGAGAGGAAACTGAATTTCCAGCCCTATTTTTAACAACATTCCCTTTAAAAGCCATTGACTGATAGAATAGACTATTTCAGTTGGAAGGGACCTACAGTGGTCACATCTAGTCCAACTGCCTGACCTCTTCAGGGCTGATCCAGTTAAAGCATGATGTTAAGGGCATTGTCCAAATGCATCTTAAACAGAGTCCTTAGCCGCTCCTTGTAGGGCATTCCTCCAAACCCTTTCACCAGTTTTATTGCCCTCCTCTGGATGCATTCAGGGACCTGAACATCCTCCTTAAATTGTGGGGCCTAGAACTGCACGCAGTATTCAAGGTGAGGCCACACCAATGCTGAATATAGCAGGATAACCACCTCATTGTACCAGCTGCTTATACTGTGTCTGATGCACCCCAGGATGTAGTTTGACCTCTTGGCTGCCAGTGCCCTCATGGACATCTTCCCATTGCCTGGCCTGGAGGCTGATGGAAGGAGAGCTCTTCATGGGATGGGGCAGAGAGGGTCTCTTCTGTGGGACAGTCGGGACAGGAGCCAGGGACCCTGGAACACGTGTTGGCTGGGACTTTGCAAAGCAGTTTGAGCAGTGGTCCTTACCTTGTTCCTGTCCTTCAGGCTGGCACCAGTGCTTGTTGGAAA